AATCATGGTGTATCCACCGAGAGGCAGAGATATCCTAGTTCTAGGACCAAAGACCCCAGCACCTGAGCCCTCTTCGGTGACCGAGCCGTCCGTATACCAGGCCTGCCCGCTCACTCCGGAGAGTCTCCGGCTACTGGCGTCCCACTCCTCTCTCGTTGGATACTCCACAATGAACTTGTGGTTGAAGCGATATTTAGGGGTAATACGATCACCCCTGCTTAGAAGGACAGGGTCCTTCCTTTGCAATTCGACTAAGAACTCTTTCGCCTAGCAACAAATAACTAAACAGGTATAACAATAGATACAGTTCGTCCAGGATATCTGTGTTGATGAACAGAATGCCGAGAAAAAATTCGGGTTGTCATTTTGTTTTTGCCACGTCTAATCTTCCAAATTGCTGTTCATGTTGGTAGTTTCTGTTTTAAACTATAGACGAATTGTAGACAAATCCTAACGAGCAACTTTGTGAACACTTATTGGAATAAAAAGTGATATTTTCGTGTTATTGTTTTCTATGTGAACAAATTAAGATAATTACGGATTTTTCTAATTTTCTCGAAAATAAATCAACTGATTTTAAAAAATCAAACGTCAAAACAAAGGACTTCGGAAGACGTTTTAAACAAGCTATTACTCGATAACCCTTGTTATTTAAAATTCTTAAGGGAATGACCCTGGTGGGCCGAGGGTGTAAGGGGGTGAAGTAGTTTTTGGTTAAAAACTTATCCCCCTTGGAAAACCTTTTGACGTGTCTCGACGTTTTTTCTTTTCTTCAGTAGTTTTCGATAAATCCGTAGTGGGAGGTTTAATTACTCGGACTAGTTTTAGACTACAACATCTATCAAGTGGCCACTTTGATTGGCCAAAACAAAATGTGCCCGTTTTGCTGCGTTTTCCATTACTTTTTCGAGCATCTCTGGTGGTATAGCGGCGATTGCGGTACGAATGTTTGCCTTGAGTTCTTCAGTGATCTGGGGCTTGCTGGCGTATACTTGTCTTTTCAAATAACCCCACAAGAAGAAGTCCGGTGGGGTCAAATCTGGAGACCTGGGTGGCCAGTCAATGTCACCTCTTTTTGACATCAGACGTCCAGGGAATTTTCGTTGCAGAAACTGGATTGTCTCATTTGCAGTGTGGCATGGCGCACCGTCTTGTTGAAACCAGTAACCATCAAGTCCTTTTTCAAGCATTTGTGGGCAGACATAATGAGCCGACATCCATCGATATCGATTTCCATCGACTGTTTCGTTTTCGTTGAAGAAAAATAGCCCAATGATGGTTTTGGCACAAACGCCGGCCCAAACAGTCACTTTCCGGTCATGCAGCGGCATTTCGTGGATCTCATGTGGATTTTCACAATTTGCTCAAAAAATCTGGTTCAGCATCAATCATGCGAGCGACTGTTTGGGCGTATTCCAAGCGACGTGGACGGTCAGTTGGCAATATTTTTTGTGTTAACTGCACCTTATAAGGATATTAATGTAAATCATCATTCAAAATGCGCAGCAACCTGCTTCCACTAATGCCAAAATGCTGATCGCAGTGACGATTCCACACTTTTGGGTTCTGGGCAACTCTGTCTCTGACGGCTTCAACCAATTCATTGGAACGTCTTTGTCGTTGATGAACGGTATGTTGACGATCTCCTCTGATCTCCCACTGTCCCGTACTCAAGAAAATTCGAAACCAAACGACGGATAGTATTGTCAGATTGCCACGATACCTTCGACGATATGCACATTGCGTTAACACAACTGAACGACGATTTTCAATGTACATTATGACTATTTCGGCGCGTTGCTTCGGTGTAAAGCTATTTATGACTAAAATTGTAGTAAATTGACGTTTCAGAAACACGTATAACCAAATCACTCGGTTGGTAAATATCAAAGTCATTCGATGTTTCAATACCGACATAAAAGATGGGGCACCCGGTACAAAAGCATGAGTTTTCATTGCTCAAATGCCTGAAGTTATGCCTATTAACAAATCCATTCAGATAAAATGTGCGTTCACCACTGCAGCTGATAATTGTTTACATGAATGGTATTATCATTCATCGCTGCAGTCATTTATTCACAAAACTAGACTCGCTTATCGAAATCATCTTCGGTTAGCTTATGCAACATTTTAGTTTTGAATTGATGAAATTTATGGAGTTTAGTAACTGTGTGTACAGAGACTAATGACATACCAGTCGCAGCAACAATTTGCGTAATGAAGTATTAGCATTTATCCCAAAACGACCTGAAACTTCAACTTGGGTGGCTTCATTCAAAACTCTCCGATGAACACTTTTTTTATTTGGAACAGATCCAGCTTGAGTAAATTTAATAACAAGGTCCAAAACATACCGATGCGAAGTTATCTTTCCCAGATGCCTGGCGTTAAACGTGACGGCAGTTTGCCGAGCACATTGATTTTGAGCACCATAAATTAGAATCATTTTCACTCTTTCGGCTGAATGATTGAATCTTGAAATTAGAGGCATTCCGGCCACCTTAAGGAGCCAGTACATAGGCTGTTTAAGCGGGCCCTTATGGACCTCTACATTCCTTAGATCACAAGTCTCGCCCTTTAGCGAAGTTGAGAATCGCCTTGAGTCCAAGCTCCTTGACGTCCTGAGGGTCCAAAGTAATGGACCCCAGTATAGTCTGACTATAGTAGCTCAGAGCTTCACAGCGACACAAAACGTGCACCGAGGTCCCTTCTTCCTCTACCCCGCAGCCTTCACACAAGGGATGCTCAGCCACCACCATCACGTGCAGGTGTTATGGCCAGACAACAGTCCCACCAGCAACCTTAGGTTGGCTCTATCCAGAGATAGGCAGAAACGTCCATCCTTAGCACTGAGCCCTTCAATGAGTTCCCGTGCCTGGCGGAGATGTCTGGAGATACTTCTCCATTTCTGAGAGTGTTGTCTTGCAATCCACATCTCCATTTTCCTCCTCGCTCTATGCGCGGTCGCTCCTAGAGCTGGCTCAGGACCAACGAGCTTGCTGGATGATCCTGTCTTCGCCAGAATGTCCGCCGTCTCATTGCCCCTTATCCCAGCGTGCCCCGGTATCTACATTAACGATACTGGATGCCTCGTTGCGAGGCAATCCAGAGCCTCCCTGCATTGCAATACAAGACTCGAAGTAATCTTACGGGCACTTAGTGCCTTCATTGCAGCCTGACTGTCGGATAAGGTTGTTATTCTACTCCTAGGCCCACCCTCCTCCAGTATGTGAGATACACAAGCCAGAATCGCAAAGATTTCCGCCTGGAAAATCATGGTGTATCCACCGAGAGGCAGAGATATCCTAGTTCTAGGACCAAAGACCCCAGCACCTGAGCCCTCTTCGGTGACCGAGCCGTCCGTATACCAGGCCTGCCCGCTCACTCCGGAGAGTCTCCGGCTACTGGCGTCCCACTCCTCTCTCGTTGGATACTCCACAATGAACTTGTGGTTGAAGCGATATTTAGGGGTAATACGATCACCCCTGCTTAGAAGGACAGGGTCCTTACTTTGCAATTCGACTAAGAACTCTTTCGCCTAGCAACAAATAACTAAACAGGTATAACAATAGATACAGTTCGTCCAGGATATCTGTGTTGATGAACAGAATGCCGAGAAAAAATTCGGGTTGTCATTTTGTTTTTGCCACGTCTAATCTTCCAAATTGCTGTTCATGTTGGTAGTTTCTGTTTTAAACTATAGACGAATTGTAGACAAATCCTAACGAGCAACTTTGTGAACACTTATTGGAATAAAAAGTGATATTTTCGTGTTATTGTTTTCTATGTGAACAAATTAAGATAATTACGGATTTTTCTAATTTTCTCGAAAATAAATCAACTGATTTTAAAAAATCAAACGTCAAAACAAAGGACTTCGGAAGACGTTTTAAACAAGCTATTACTCGATAACCCTTGTTATTTAAAATTCTTAAGGGAATGACCCTGGTGGGCCGAGGGTGTAAGGGGGTGAAGTAGTTTTTGGTTAAAAACTTATCCCCCTTGGAAAACCTTTTGACGTGTCTCGACGTTTTTTCTTTTCTTCAGTAGTTTTCGATAAATCCGTAGTGGGAGGTTTAGTGTGTTTTTGTTTTTTAGCTGAACAAATTGAGGCAAATAAAGATATTTTTAATTTTCTCGAAAACCAATCAACTGATTAAAAAAAATTATAGGTACGTCAAAATAAAGGACTTTAAAAGACCTTTCAAACAAGCCATTACTTGATACTCCTTGTCATTTAAAATTTTCAAGGGAATGACCCTGGGGGACCAAATCTTTTGACGTGTCTCGGAATTTTTTCTTTTATTCGATAAATCCCTGGTAGTAAGTTTTCAAATGAACACTGTATATGTGTGACTGTTATATCAACAGGTCAGAGTAACGTAGTATTGTTGAGAATATTAGTATAACTTATTTTACGGAGACCAAAGGTGCAACGATTAAGCGACATTTAGTTTTTAGTTTTTTGCCTGTAGCTCCGCTGCCACGTAATCGACTTTAAGACCTACAAGGTATTTTTATCTTCAGCATAGTATTAGCTTTTCTTCAAAACTTTATCAAAATCTAAGTGGTACTGTCCAAATTATAGGTGGATCAAGGAGAGACAGACAGAGAGGCCGATGGATCTATGAATATTCGAAATTTAACCCAAAACCGTTCCCTGGGACACACAACAACACACACAACAATAATTAAAATTGTTTGTATTTTTTTGATATAAAGGCCTGTTCGTACTGCTGTCACTCACCTATTGTTGATCGCGTCCACGATCCCGCCACACAAATTTCGTTCATTCTGCTACGCTATTCGACGGAATTCACACGGCCGGATCCCGGACAGAGTCACCGACAAGTTACCGACTACTGTTTGAACAAACCTTAAAACTCCTTCATATTTAAAAGTGTTGATCCAAACATTGTAGTGTTTTAAAAGCCGTGAAGCTGTGGCAATCCTGAAACTTGCAATTTTCTCTGTTCTATTTAGTATGTCTCTGTTTACAGTATCCACGCATCCATAATTAACCCCAACTGGTATGGTGTCCCTGATGTGCAGATAAAAGCTAGTCAATTGTCAAATGACTCCGCCAAGGTGGCTAAGTTCGATTACGACCTCTACTGGCCAAAGTTCGAAGTAGAAGGACAGTACACAGCTGAAATGGAAGGCCTAATTCATAGCTACCATGAAGGAAACTGGTCGTAAGTTGATTTTACTTTTTAGTTATTGCGAGGGCTATATTTTTACGTTTTTGGAATGATAGACGAGGGTGTCTGGTACATTGTTGGCAGGCTGCACATTACTTTTGGAGCTGAAATGCTTATTCTAGGCGGTCCTGGGCTTTGTTGGGTCAACGGTGTCGTCTTAAAATTGCAATGATGGCTTCGCGCGATCACAGCAAGTATACAGGATCGTACAGACTGTTGTAGCAACACATCATATCATATAATGAATAAGATAAGATAATAACTCACTCCACTCTCGGAATGTCCGGGTGGAGGGTGGCCTCGAGGGAACAACATCGAAGATAAAATTTGTTTTTCGAACATCTGCGGGATCAACAGCAACATTGATGCAGTTCATCACTACCTGCAATGCAATCGTCCCGCCGTGCTTTTCTTGGCGGAGACAAAAATCTCAGAGACTGCACCGATTAACCATCTCAACTTCCCAAACTACGAGGTGCACTCCAATCTGAGAAAGAACGGGGGAGTTGTGGCTTTTGTCCGCAGCAGTCTTTCCTGCTCCAGGGATCTTTCTTTGGAATCAGACCGGAAGGACATTCTGTGGCTTCGCCTCAGCTCCAAAACATCACCCAAATTTATTTGCTGCCTTTATCGCTCTCCCTCGAACCATAACTGGGATGACCTACTCGAATATCTCGCCGTCCAGATCGACTTCCTGAACATCAATCACTCCGCTTCAGAGGTAGTTCTCCTCGGTGAGTTCAATGCCCATAATGAGCTTTGGTTGGGCTCAAATAAGACCGATGCAGCAGGTCGTGCAGTCGAAGCGTTCGCTCTTACTCAAGGGCTGACCCAGCTGGTGACGAGCCCTACTTTTTTCCCCCGCGTCTCGTCACACGCCAGTAGCCTGCTGGATCTCTTTCTGACCACGCATCCTGCCCCTTACAGCACTGCTGTCCTGTCCCCCCTGGGTAACTCAGATCACGGTGTTGTGGAGGTTAGGTTTCGGTCCGAGGCCGCTGTGGCAGCAGAAACTCGCACAAGCCGCAAAACTTGGCATTACGGATATGCCGACTGGGAGGGGCTCAGAGACTTCTTCTCTAGCTTTCCTTGGAGAGATGTCTGTTTCACTGACGCGTATACGTCGACTGTCTGTTCTTCAATAACCGAAATTATCCACGTCGGAATGGAGGAATATATCCCTCATACAGTGAAAGTTCCTAAACCAGGGTCCAACGGCTGGTTCAACAAATCGTGTGACACTGCTCGCCAGCAGAAGATCAAGGCCCACAGAACCTACTTATAAAACCCCACTGTAGAGAACAGACAAGCCGACGTCGAGTCCAGAAACAAATATAACGAAGCGGTTCGCAATGCCAAAAACCAGCATGGTAAAAAAAAGTTAGGCACAGGGTAATGTCGCAGCGCAATGGCAGTCGGTCTTTCTGGACGCTGGCCAAGCAGATTGAAAAGAACTTCTCACACAGCAGCCTTCCACCACTTACGTGTCAGGATGGAACTATTGTATTCGACTCAAAGGCCAAGGCGGAAGTCTAGCTAAGATCTTTGCTGCCAACTCCATCATGGACGTCCCCACCAACGCCCAAGTGCCGTCAATTCAAAGGGTTCCCCACACTATGCGGGAGGTAACATTCAGGCATAAGACCGTAAGACGAGTGCTCTTGTCGCTCGACATCAACAAAGCTTCTGGTCCGGACTTGATTCCTGCCATTGTACTGAAGAGATGTGCAGCGGAGCTTGCTCCAGCTCTTTCGCGTCTCTTCCAGATATCTTATGAATCCGGCACCTTCCCAGAAAACTGGAAATTTGCTCATGTACAGCCCATCCCAAAAAAGGATCTAAAACCGACCCTTACAACTACAGGCCTATAGCTCTGCTTTCTGTTATAAGTAAAGTGATGGAGAGGTGCATAAATCGCGAGCTTCTGGACTACCTCGAACGTCACAGCTTGATTAGCGACAGGCAGTACGGTTTGCGGCACCAACGATCCACAGGGGACCTGATAGCTTACGTCACGCAACTGTGGAGTAAACTCATCCAGTCTCATGGTGAGGCTCATGTCGTTGCTCTTGACATCACGAAAGCGTTCGATCAGCTGTGGCACGCTGACCTCTTAAGCAAACTTCCATCCTATGGCTTCCCAGAAAAGCTTTGCAGATGGGTGGCTGACTTTATCTCTGGGCGCAAGATATCCGTCGTAATTGACGGATTCTCCTCTTCATCCCACAACGTCAACGCGGGTGTTCCCCAGGGATCGGTCTTGGCTCCAACACTGTTTCTCTTACATATCAACGACCTCCTTTCCTGCACGATCAACCCAATCCACAGCTTCGCTGATGACAGCACTCTACATGCAGAAAAAAAAGAAGACTAGCGACGACTTCCTCTCTGACAAGAGACTCACTGCTTGGGGAAGCAACAATCTTGTACAGTTCAATGCTTCCAAAACACAGTATTGTACTTTGACGAACAAAAAGCGTTATAGCGCTCATACAGTTTCGATGAACGGTCGAGTTCTACCAAAGAGCCATTCATTTCGGCTGGTCGGAGTCCAGATCACCGAGGACCTGATCTGGCACGAACACATCTCTTCAATAGCTGCAGCTGCTGGGAAAAAGCTAGGCTATTTGTTTAGGGCTAAGAAGTACTTTTCTCCGCATGACCTTCTCACTCTATACAAGGCCCAGATAAGGCCTAGCCTCGAGTATTGCTCACACATTTGGGGTGCTGCCGCCCCGACTACATTGTCCATGCTCGATGCTGTCCAGAGGAGGGCGGTCCGACTGATCGATGACTCTTCTCTAACAGACAGTCTCGGGACTCTTTCGCACCGGCGGGCCGTCGGCGATCTAGCTCTTTTCTATCGCTACACCAACGGGCTTTGCTCCTCAGAGCTCTCTTCCATGATGCCGCCGCGCGATGTGCCTGCCAGAGAGACCCGCCTGACTTCGGCGTCCCATCCTAACCGTGTCAAACTTCGTACATCCAGAACTGGCCGATACGACCGCTCCTTTGTCCCGAGGGTGTCTAGATTGTGGAACAATCTACGGGAGGAAGCTTTTCCCAGTTCTACTAACCTTAGGCAGTTCAAAAATCGTATTAACAAAATTTATTTGGGATCATCATAGCAGCTGCGGTGTTCCGGCATTTAGGCTTCTGCCTGCGCGGCTGTTTCGATATAAAAAAAAAGAGAAAAAAGAAGCAAAGAAACTGTCACTATGAAGGCAGACAAACAAAATATAATTTAATTATCATCATAGTTGTTATTTGTACTTTAAAACGGCCACCATAGCGACCGGAATGGTGTATCATTTGAAAAGTTTTTCAAACATATGTGGTTCCTTTTAGCTTCCAGACAAATATGAAAGATTACACCGGCACACAGAAATAAAAAAGTGGTCTGTACATTTGGCCAGACCCACCTAGGAATATATAATATATACTTCGATATGCTACATCGGAATTTGAGTTCCGTTTGACTCGTATACGCTAAAAAATTTTAGCAAGTTGTAAGAATCCGCTAAAAATGGCTAAACACCGCAAAAAATGTACTTAAACAAACTACAAAAATATTCTTGGTTCTGAGGTTGGTTTTGTTCGTGGACCCTCTAAAATTCGAGAAAATTGGAACAAATTGACAGAAATCGGTAAAAAGCCCACACAATGGAGTTATACGTATACAAATGGAAAAACTGTTTTCGAACAAGTTCAATGTAAATTGCAAAAAATCGCTTCAAGTCGCAAAAAATGCCATTCATGCAAGTAAAAATGTCTTATCATGTGACGTTTCATCTACCTTGATAGCGATTTCTCATTTCACTCATGTCTTGGTGAAATCATTGTTCTTATTCTTAACTGCAGCGTTCAACATTTGAAGGAAAGTAGTCACGAGTCAGGAAGAGATCTATCGCTCGTTTATGTAATCAAAGCACCTCCAAGTGGTGACGGTGAGCAACAGCACAGAGCAGAGCACAGTTCCTCGGCTAACGGCGAGCAGGCACAAGTATATCGAAATACATAAAATATACACTTGATTCAGCTCAAAATATCTTTTTTCAGTTGCACAACTGCCATTTTTGTATTTTTTTAGCGAATTCTGGGGATTTTTTGCCATCTACCTGATATTTGGAGCTGCAGTAACTTCAGACTTGTGTTTATAAGAAATAAATTTCATCAAGAAGAAACGTTTTTTCGTTTGCGATCTTTAGCGTATTCTAGCGGTTTTTTACAGTTTACTCAAACTTTTGAGGATGTACGGGTCAAGCAGATCTCAGCGCATCAAAATACACATTGATGTTCATACCACTTTTTTCATTATCATGTGCCGGTGTTGTCAGCCTGAAAACTGCAGGCTGAGTTTCAAATGTTGCATTATATCCAACTCGGCTAAAATTGTATCTAAGTTAGTGCATTTGAATTTTAGAGTTTTGTTGTCGGAAGTACACTGGAGTGGAGAGATGGACTTTAACAAAGAGAAACTGCACATTGACAAACTCAAGATTCATTGGAAAGTCGATGATGTTAAGGTAATGACAATATTCATATCTAATTTTTCGTAAAAGTACTACAGTATTGATTTCAAAACTACTGCATAGATGTAAACTATAGAAATGCGTTTATGCTCAAAAGTACCAAACATGTTGGTAAACAGGAATAAATTAGTGTCACAGACAATGAGGCTACCAGGTGGCTCTGGCATGCGCTAAAAGGGTGTCTGTCCTATGGGGTTAATACTAATTTTAGTATAGATCGACCGGAATAGAGTTTCCGCGAATACCGATGAATAATCGGGCAATATAGATATACAATTTACATTGTATCTCTTTTTTGTACAATCTCACATGAAAGACATACTTACTACACATAACTGTATATTTGACAAGTAAGGCGACTTGACCAGATATGGGCACCCCTAAGGAAATTATGTGGTCAAACGTTTAATATCCATTATAAAACCATCAAATTTCTGGTATATACTAAGTGACATATAAATCCGAACACCCAGTTTAAATGGTTTTATTTTAATAAAATTTTGTATAAGTACTTAATGAAGCATAATAAGTAAATGATAAAAATTTCAAAATGATTGCACTGCTTTAAAGCCCTTTGACCTTTAATAATGTGTGGATGCACCCTGATGTACTACGCATTCTCCAACGCGCCTAGGCATGCTTCTGATCAGGTGGTCAATGTCCTCTTGTGGTATCTCATTCCAGGCAGCCACCAACTCCTCTCGAAGTGCTTCTAGAATCTGAGGAGGACGTTGCAAATTGAGCAATCTCCTACCCATCATATCCCACACGTGCTCAATTGGGGATAAATCGGGAGATCTTGGTGGCCATGGTAACAATGTGACATCATTATGTTGAAAGAAGTCTATTGTGACTCTTGCAACATGTGGTCGGGCATTATCTTGTTGGAAAGTTGGATCTGCCAGTGTGTCAAGATAGGGTAAAAGATGGGGTTCTAGAACTTCGTGGATATAACGCTGCGCGTTCATGTTACCTCTCCTTCTCCTTTCACCATGTCGCCTTCTAACCCTGGCACGACCATCGTGCATGCCTAAACAAAATCGAGACTCGTCACTAAAGACAATACTGTTCCATTTCTGATCCCAGAGTGACCGTTGTCTGCACCACTCAAGGTGATTACGTCGGTGTTCTCGAGTTAAAGGGAGGACCCAGTGTGGCCGGTATGAAAACAAGCCAAAACTTCTCATTCGTCGGTAAACACTTCGCATGCCAATTGGTCTTCCGTGTTCTGCAAACCATTCATTTGCAATGGACCTGGTAGTGGAGAAACGGTCCCTTAAGGCCAATAATCTAAGGCGGCGATCTTCACGGTCTGTTGTTCTACGGCGACGTCCAGTGCCCCTTGCTCTTTGCGTACGGCCTTCTCGAAGCCATGCCTGACAACACCTAACCACAGTGTCTACACTTCTTTGCACTCTAATTGCAATTGCCCGAAAAGAAAGTCCAGCTTCCCGAAGTCCCACTATACGGCCCCTATCAAACTCACTAAGTTGACGAAATCGTACAGGTCTCCGTACTCTAGGCATCGTAACCGATCGTAAAGGATGTCAAGAACCAAAATCCGCCAACGTTGATTCTTTACTGCGGCTGAAATATTCATTTTTAGAGCGTTAGTGAATTAAAAAAAAGCAGTATAAAATCCGGAATGTCCAACTGATAAGGCTGAAAATTTTTTCACTTGTTATTTACAGTAAGATAAATACATTCACCAACTTTTATTAAAATAAAACCATTTAAACTGGGTGTTCGGATTTATATGTCACTTAGTATATATACCTGTATAAATAACACGATTCTGCTTTGGCATTGGACAAACCAGTACAGGTAGATTTAGTTTGCTTCTTTGGTGAATTCTGTGGCATCTTTGATTGCGTGTTTTTTGTAGGAAAAAGTGCTTGGGTCACTTGAACGGCCTTGTAAATTATTGCCTTTTTAGCAGGCTTTCGAGCCGCATACATAGCAGGAAACTCTGGTGTTGGCAGTAGCTGTGAAAAAGGATGTGACTGCTCACAGTCTGAGTTGTCGCTTATTTCGGGAGTGGACTGTACAGGAGAAGAGGATGATGAAAATGGCTCCCATTCCATACTTTCATCTATAGAAGTAGCTTCTTCGATATGTGTTCCTGAAGTTGAAGGTCTTGGAGACGAAGTTGCAGGAGGGTCTACAATATTTTCATCGATATTCTCTTGAGGCATCTCTGATAATGTTGATGGTGCAAATGCTGTTTCCGGTATTACTGTCGGATCAAAGGGATATACGAGGGATGTTTTTTAAGTTTTGCATATAGAAACATAGTAGGCCGCGTGGATCGAACGTCAGTACTGAATCTTAACCTCACTCTTTGGTAAACTTAAATTCAAAGTTTCACAACAATACGTGCAATGTTCTCACTACAGTGAATTTTTAAGTGTCACCAAGTATTTAGAAAAATGGAACTTAACCGAGAACATTTTCGCGCCATAATTTATTACAACTTTCAGGGACAATTACTGTCTGTTTTCAGAAACAAAGCGCCACATCAGTCGACAATTTCCTGTTGGTGCGGAGAATTCAAACGTGGATGGGTGAGTCTTAGCGACGGTCCCAGGGTGGGTGCACCAAAAACGGCAGTCACTCAGCAAAACGTCGATGCTGTGCGCAAGCTCATCATTGAAGATAGACATCTGACATATCGCGAGATTGAGGCGTCCTTGAAGATCTCAAAGACCACAATTCAAAAAATTGTACATGAAGAATTAGAAGTAAGAAAATTAGTTTCTCGTTTGATACACCTGTTGACTCAAGAGCAGAAAGCAGCCAGGGTTAATTGGTGTCAAAAAACGCTTGACCGTTTCAATTCCGGAATTTAAAAAAATGTGTACAGCATTGTTAGTGGTGATTAATCGTGGATTTACTGTTATGAACCAAAAAATAAACGACAGTCGGCTGTTTGGGTGTTCCAAGGTGAAGAAAAGCCAACAAAAGTCATCCGTTCTCGAAGTGTTCCGAAAAAGATGGTCGCGACATTTGTGCCAAAAGCGGGTCATATTGCAACAATTCCTCTTAGTGAGCAAAGAACTGTTATTGCGGATTGGTATAACACCATTTGTTTGCCAAAAGTCATCACCGAGCTTCGGAAAGTCAACCCCGAAAGAAGAATCACCAAGACAATACAAGCTCGCACACAGCCCAAAAAACAAGGCAGTATTTAACGGAAGAAAACGTGGAATTATTGGAACATCCTCCATATAGTCCCGATATAAGTCCTAACGATTTCTTTACTTTCCCGAAAATTAAAAACAGACTGCTTGGTCAAAGGTTCGAGTCACTAGAAGAAGCAGTTGACGCACTCAAAAATGCCGTTTTGGATCTGCCGGCGAACGAGTGGAATAAGTGCTTCGAAAATTGGTTCAAACGCATGCAGATGTGTATTAATCTTCGTGGAGAATACTTCGAAAAACAGTAACGTCATTTAAAACTACCTAGCGTGTTGTTTTATATCCACATGCAAAACATAAGTTTTATTTCCATATGCAAACCTTAAAAGTCATCCCTCGTATACCAGTTACTCGAATGCCTGCCGATACATTTGCAGGTGTAGTTGCTCTTGGCCATTATTTGGAAGATACAATCCAAAGCTTGATTTTGTTAATTTTCTGTTTAGATGTACCTCCCAAAAGCGCTGGAGTTGATCATCCCAAAGGTATTCAAATGAACTGAATACCGATTTATCCATGGGTTGTAGCTCATGCGTACAATTGCTAGGTAGACAAGCAATGTTATGCGAGCTTCTTCTACAATAGTAACGATGTTGGCACCTAGGTGTGATTTGGCTCCATCAAAAATTAAAAGTACATTTTCTGGAGGCTTGTGTTCTGCAAAGTGATGTACCCATTCAAAGAATGTAGTGCATGTCATACTTCCTTTTTGGGTCACCAATACTTTAGCTCCAGGTGGAAGATTGTTCCACGTGTTCTGGAGTTACAAAAGTTACTCTTTTAATACCTTGCGCGCCAACACAGCCGGCTCCTTATGTACAAGTAGCTGACAACCATTCTCATCCATGTTAAAAATTAAATGCGGTTTATCCATCACATCTAGATCAGTCATCACTTTTTTCAGTGTCAAAATAATGTGCAACAATAAGTTTATTAAGCTTTGCTGCTCGTGCTGGGTGAACGTTTTGAGATTTTCTTCGAGCAACATCACAGTGCCGTCTAAGACACAACTTCAGCCATTTTCTGACAACCAGAGATGACTCTTGCTTGTTACACCGCCACTGAATATTGTTTATTTGACAAAATATTTTGGATGTAATGGGCATTCCTATCTCAGCAAGCCTAAATATTCTTGAGCACAACTCGTCTTCCTGGTCCTTAGTCAAGATGGATTTTCGACCCAATCGTTTCACTTTGTTTCCAGCCTGGCATGGCGTTGTAAAATGCTCCGTGGTATACCAAAATGGATTGCTGCCCGCTTTATCTTCATTCCCTGCTGAATTGCCATAACAGCGTCACTTAAAGACTCAGAACTCCACTGAGCTCTTTTTTTTGGTTTATTTCCTGGAAAAATAAGCCCAGCGTAAAAAACAGTTCAATGAGCAAAAAATAATAGTGTTTCAAATATGGGCATTGCTCATATTTAGCGCTTTCACGAGTGTCCGTATTTGACAAAATGGAACTTTGTGACTATTTCAAGCAATACTTACTTCTGTAGTTTTGTATGTAAACATCAATCAATTAATAGTTACCAGCTTCACATTGATATATGGTGATCAATATTTTATTTACATTTACAATAAAAAATCGACGAAAGTATTACTGACAGAGATTACAAGCGCCACGTACACGGCATCCATTTTCACTATTTACAAATTGTAGAGCGCCACCTCGTAGATGATATAGGAAACAACTTATGCAGTGAGTTTGTCTATGCTTAGTTGCTAAATTTAACTGTAAATTACAGAGAGACCTGTATTTGAATTATTTTATTCCAGACAGTGCCCAAATTTGGGTCAGTGCCCATATTTGGTACCTTATATTTATTCGAATTTTTGGTGTATGTAATCAACGCTATAGTCGGACTTGAACAGTAACGGTTTATAGAACAATGAGTAAGAACCACATACTCGCTATATCTGATTTCGCTTGGTCATCCAAAAAAGATGAAAGAAGTGTAGTGGCAAATTACAGCTTAGAGATACACACGCTCTACATGTGCACTTGCGGAAGCCCGACTTGTAGAAGGATGGAAATTCAAACATTTCTACAAGTAAATTTTTCCAATCACGCATTTATTTAAGCAGGTGAGAACGTTTAGTTGATCGGTTGAATACTTCGACAAAGTTACTGATCAAAATTTTGACCAAATTAATAAATAGTGCAATTTCTGCCCTATGCGAAATAGCGAACACATCAAATATGAAGATCACATCTTCTAAATAGCAAAATGCAACCATTGAACGATTCGGATAAAACTGAAAATGTCAATTAAATTGCATTACAAACTTATCAGAAACAGGTTACTGTAATACAAATGAAATACATTTTTTATGTATTCTGTTGTGTTTTTTGTAATGCTATAATATCAAAGGTACAATGTATATTGGTCGGCTTACATCCGCTGATGGGCACTCATATCAGCCAATTCCAAGACTTCCAATAAGTACCACGACAAACTTAAGGAGAAGGTAGGCTTTGGACTGACCTGACCCTATAATGCACTTATAGCCCAGTACATTTTTGTTTCACCACAGAGGAAACAATATCTGAGCAATCCCACAACAGTCCTTATTTTATCATGGTTCCTTAATATCTTTTAACTATATTGCATTTGTGTATGACAAAGCAATCTAGAAGTATTCTATAGAAAAAATGAACAAAGTTTAACCTTATTTGTACATCCAACTAAGGATCACAGATGAAAATGTTATTTTTTTTAAATTTAAGAAGAAATTCAATATCTCAAAAACGGTGACACTTTTATATAGGTAAGTTTTTGTTATTTGGGCGGTCAGTCCAAAGCCTACCTTCTCCTCAAATTTGTCGTGATACTTGTTGGACACCCTGTTTAAGCAAAATACTCGGATAGCGCCGATATACATCTCGGTATCGGTCGATCCCTAATGCCTTCCAGGAATCATATCAAATCTGCCCGATATGATAATATTTCATATATTATAGGATGGAGAGAAGTAGTAGGGAAAGCATCGCTTAATTATGCCTAGGCGGCAATTGTCACTGTTTGGCCAGCTTGTCATATTCACAAATTCAAATGAGGGCAAATATCATCACCTGTCTGAAGCGTTAATCTACGATTCTATATCTGTTTAGACTAGAGTATCACAACAGCGGGAATGCAAGGAGGTGTAGTAGCTGCTACGCTCTCAGTTTGCGAGGCTCATTCCTATCGGGCATCATTTCAAACCCCCTGCAGACTATGATCTTTCTCCCTCATCAGAGTTCGTTAATACGATATAGGTGTAAAATGGAGAGAAGTACTAGTAAAATCATCGCTTATGAATGCTAGGCGATAATTACCACTCACTAGTCTGCCAACTTATAATCAAAAATTTAAATAAGAGCATAACAACATCACTTGTGACTGGTTCAGGGAATATTGAAAGCACTATTAAAGCGATTTCGAACCTTAATCTATCAATCTATATCTGTTTAGACTAGTATCACCGGTGGGGGAATTCAAGGAGATACACTAGCTGCTACGATCAAATACAGCTTGCAAACCGCATTCAAAATGAGATCGGCCGACCTAGGAACTGAAGTAGTGTTGGGCTACAGACTGAATGAGGTATGGCTGAAGAATGCCACTAAGGTTGAAGCTCTTCTGGACTGGTGCCGTCATCAGGAAAAGTAATCTTCTGGTCAAGAGATTGTTAATTTTATTAGCTTCATAAACGTCTAGTACTGTTACGCTTGCTTTGTTCTCTTTCTATCACGATGTTTTCTATTATCATAGCGTTTTCGAACAGCTATGCATCGTTACCTGTTATAAGTATTTTACTATCTATAAATTAGGTAACTACTGTGTGAGTGTAAGTTAAGTTTTATCAAAGAAGATAAGGCACAGGAAGTACAACATGAACAAAATATCCAAAATCTTCAAAGTGCGGTTAACCAATGATGAGTCAGGAAACTTCTGCGACGATTTTTCCTCTTTATTCACATTCTCACATTCCAACGAGACTTGCGAATAAACACGGATACTTACGTCACTGATTTGCATGAGTCTGTCGGTCTGTCTGCCTACTAATCATTAACCCCCCTATAACTTGGAAAGTACCGCTTAAATGTTGTCGAAATTTTCACACAAAGTTACAACTATGTTCGAGGCGGAAACGACTTGACGTTTCTGAAAATCAGTCAAGTGGCAACGTAGCTAAGGGCAAAAGCGGAAAAAGTAGTTTTTTGGTGTTAGTATATTTATGCGTTTATGACCCAGGTAATTATCTGCATCTATCAGAATAATGTCACACATATATTTCTCTGGCGTGGGTTTGTAAATCACTTGGTAATATAATACCATACACAGTAAGTGTAGATTGATAGATGAAATTTCACTTTGGAATACTGTGTAACTTTATTTTTAGAACGCTTAAATTATTACAAAGTCTTATAACGACACTTGATGATGGCATGGTGGATTCTAACTACTTTTTCTGAAACCATTTTTCTTCTACATGAAACGCTATGGATACGAGATAGATCATTTATCGTGAAAACTATAGGTATATTCTGCCAATTTTGAGTACTTTTTGATAAACGGACGAAGTAACCAAACAATGAACCATAAGAATGGCAAGTCCCAACAGTCTTATTTCCAAGGTTTCAAGCACGGGAAGAAAAGTGCACTTTTGGCGTTACAGAAGGATTAGTTTCTATTGTGTTCTATTGCCAAACACATGGAACAGTAACGTCAAATAATTACGAGCGCTCAAATTGTTACAGATTAGTACAATTTAAGGACGCAGCCCTGTTCATTCGCTCTTGAAACAGAAGAAGAGAAATATTTGCAACAAGCTCTTTGCATATCGATTGCACGGCAACGCAACCAACGTATATGGCCTTTCTCACGAGCATCCGTTACATGTTAACGTCTACTGAGGTGAATAGCTGATCAGCAAGAGACGTCTTTATATTAAAGTCTGTAATGTTGGCAATGACGAATTGGGCATGAATCGGGTAAATGTCAGGACCGTCTTCATTACTGCTTATACCGAACATATTCGAAAACGATTTATCTTATTTTACTCCTATCTGACTTAGAGCCGTAACGTCAGACGTTCCTACAATTGTAGGACGCTTTTAAGGCCTCCTTGATTTTCATAGTTTTCTACTGTTCCATGTCAGCGCTCTATTTTGAGGTTATGTCACAAATATTTCATGCTTTTGATTTATATCATCTGTTTTAGCCGCCTTAAATTTCCGACAATTCAAAAAGAAAAAACATAACTTCACAATAGGAAAGCGCTGATGCTGACACGTATCATTAGAAATCCATAAATATCACAGCCTTTCTGAAGGAGAGAAAAGACTATGAAAATCAAGAAGGACATAAAGGCGTCCTACGATTGTAGGAACGACTGACGATACGGCCCTAAATAATAATGACAATAATAATAGAACGTTAGTGGCCCTTCAGTGAATACTATTTACTTAGCAAAAAAAGTAGTATCGCTTCCATAATAAATATAAGTAGAAGAGGTACCACAAATATAATAATACATAAAAAGGGCTCCATTTAAAAAATATGGGGTAATGAAGTCTAAAAGTAATAAACAAAAAAAATGTATATCTTAAAACCATCAACTAGAATCAACTAAAATTTAGTATGTGGATTTATCTAAATATTGTCCACATTCTAAAGTCTGTACTTGAAATTAAAGTGCACCAGTGCCGGAGATACAGGGTATTAGTGGCATTATTTCTCCGAATAAAAATAGTACGCCACCGTTTCTTTTCGAATCAGGAAATTTTTCGAATTTTACCTTCAATTTGCTACAAATAATTACTCTTGTGCTTTTTCATAGAGTGCACTGTTTTTGTAAGAACAAAACTAAAACATATCAGATCTTTCATGAAAAGCCGAGGTGCAATTAGTTGAAAATAAAATAGGAGGCCTAGATACCAACTTGACGTTTCTTGGGAGATAGCTTGTTAAAGTTATAAATTATACGGAGGTTTTACCTTTAATTCTCATAATGAACATATTCCGTCATGAGAACACTCCCGTTCTGTAAGAATCCATCCGTTTCAACACAGATTTGCTAGAAATGTCTGGAGCGGCATTTTATATGTCCAACTGCTTATGCACGTATTGCCACAACGTTCACATGCAAAATCATACTTAGCTTTCCTAGAGAATAACATAGAAAATGTGTTAGATGATGTTCCGTCAGCAACGAGAGTACTAATGTGGTATTAGCACGACGCGACGGTTCTCCATCGCATGTTCTCGTGACATAACCGCATTGTTAAAGAATCATTTTAGACAACGTTGGATTGGCAGAAACGGACCTGTAAATTGGCCTGTGAGATCTCCTGATTTGAACACCCTGGATTTCTTTTTGTAGGTCGCTTTTATCAGTTACAACAAAGAATAGATAATGCGTTCCATCAAATTCAAGCCACAACAAATTTTGGGGAAATACGCTTTTCGTTACATGTTACATAGAAGGTCCCCCTTAAAATTCGGTCTGATATTTAATTTTTGGTCACGACCTGCATATATACGTACCAGAAACAATCCAGAGGCTTAAGTTGACATTTAGATAACCTTCTGCTTTGAAAGCGAAAGCTTCAAATCTTACAAAGTTCTTGCATCATGTAAGAAACCTCCTGTCTTGACCACATTACGAAGGCCTCAATCTATCAAAAAGAATGTGTGTGCCAATTATGTTTTGGTATTAGGTACGCATCAAATAGAGTCACTCGTAACTGGAATAATAACATCTATGCGATGACGCGTGTGCCTCGTGGCAATTATAAGACACCAAAGTATTGACATTCCGCGTGATTTCATTTTATGGGTTCTTTAATTTTGAGCCGTAAGATTTTCTAGCGGCAGATATGTTTAAACCTATCGAAATAAGGCAGCACAACGTGCGGTCTATATTACCAGAATCGACCACTGCGAGAGAGAAAACAGCAAACTGCCTATTAGAACTGCATCTCAGTCCACATTGTCAGTTAGGTCATTACTGTGGTCGATTCTGGTGATAAAGTAGACACAGTCTACTCGCCATTGTTCAAACTAGTAATATTGGGTTCGTTCGTCCTACACAGACGACCAATCATAGACAGCTGCTTGGTGCTATTTGGCATTGAGCATTGTCTAGGCTTTGTCTTAGGTGAGACAACGACCAAAAGCTGAGCGAGTATCTTCTATCCAGACTATAAGGTATATCGATTAAGACAAAAAGTGCAATCTATTACCAGAGTTGACCACTAAGAGAGTTAAAACAGCAAGCTGTATAGACGACAGTTGCATCAGCTTCAGTTGTCATATTACTTGTTCGTTCAAAGGCAGGTAGACCACATCTACTATAGCACACAGTTGACAATGCCAAGTCAACAGTCAGCTTGCTGTGTTCACTTTTGCTAATAGATGACAATTTGTGCTGTCTTATTTAGATAGACCTTATAGTCTGGGTGGAGGATAGTTTCAGCTTTCGTTCGTTGTCATATCTGAGACTAAGCTTAGACCATGCTGAGGAAATGTCAAACAGCACAAAAGAGCTGCCCATGATTGGCCCTCTGTGGTCAAATGAACGAATTCTGTTTTACTAGGATGTTTAAGTCTGTGTCCAGAATTTGGACCTATACATAAAACGAACTTACATCATTTTATTTTGTCTCGTATCCCCTCATATTTTTATGGTTAGTTAATTAGACAAGAAGTTAGTCTGATATAGCGTAGTCGCAGAAAATCCAATTTACCTCAAATAAACCATGGAGAAGCCAGCCTGGTGACACCATTTTACTCCAGACTGAGACTATTTCATAAGACTTCATGTTTATGCTTATATGACCGCTTACCTATTAAAATCAGAGTTCAGTGAGAGAATCTAGCGACGATTGCCAATTTATTTGTTTCGAATCTATAGTTCGGGATCTCGGATGTCCGCCATATACTTTGAAGTTGAGTCATTGATTTTCAGATAATGATTGTAGAAGGAAGATAAACCAAAATACGTGTGTAAAAATTTAAAAAAAATGCTACCTTGTTTTATAAAGTATCCTCCCGACAAGTATTTCAGTGCGGACATGTATTTGATGGTGCGGTCTTGGAGCACCGGCATGCCCTCCCCTGTGAGGTCTTAAGTCACCTGATTCACGAGCCCTTTGTACTACATTCAGCATTTTCGTAAACATGTGCCATTTTTTATTCACTATTCACTCACGCGTTACCGACTGACACATCGACTGAATACAACAATACATTGTAGTAAAAACATCGTTTCAAATTCTGTCGCTTTTTTGTTTCCGATGCGATGAACGGATAAGGCGGATTATAACCGTTGTTGCCAAACACGAGCACATAATATTATTATTGAGACAGGGCGCTACTCAAACTTCTAAAGGGCTATAACTTTGTTACTTTAATTTTACCAGAAAAATGTTAAAGGAAAAAAACATTTCTTTTGATCAGATCTACTCACTGTTAAAATAAATGACTCAACTTCGAAGTCACCCTGTAGAAATGAGACACCGCAAAGCAAGCCAGATTTCGGTTCGCGTTTGATAGCCGAGTTGCCTCCATGACCGCTAGAGACTAACGATTCTGACAGTGTAGTAGATGCTGCCTGCTGGCCATTGATCAAACTAAACATGCTGCCTTGCATGCATCAGATAGGGTATAGTTGACATGCTTTCGTTCGTTGTCGTAGAGACCAACCCTAGACCATGCTGATGAGTTGCCAAAAAGCACGAAACAACTGTTCGTTGTTGGCTGTCTGTGGTCTGACAGACGAAGGCAGCATGTTTAGCGTGTCCGTAATATGTTTAAGGATGTAAAGCCAGCAGGTGGTACACGCACCTTTGGGTACTCCAACGAAGCATCAAGAGTAAGTTACCGTGAGCTAAAGTGGTTTTACGTTCATACACCTTCAACCATCATAATCCAAAACCTTAGTTACAGACTACCCGAATTTAAGTCAAATTGCATAAGCCGATCAGCGAGTACAGAAGAGGAAATCAACAAATTGGCGGTTGGCAACTTTACCACCTTTTTTAAAAAACTGTTCCGTGTGTGATACAAAGAACAACAAATAAGATAATCAACATCTCAACATGGTTAACGTTTTTTTTTGCTCGACTGACTTAGAAGGGTTACGTTCTTCGCGCATGGATATGTGTGTAAAAAATCTATTTCAGGGGCAACAGTCGGCTTCACGAGTTTTGGTGAATGAGGTTTTATTGGATTAGTAGTAGCAGTGTGAGTGACACTGGTTAAATTAAAATTCCATTAAATCAAACTGATGGATTTTAATCGAAAATTTCTATTTTACGGCCATCTGGATGAATTTTGACATATGAGGTGCCTCTATATGTATATGTCTGTGCGAGTAACTCCAGATATATTAGAATTTTATGAGGACCTCGCACAAAACATGGAATATGAGTCCCAATCGATATATCTAAAAATTTATTTCTTGCCTTCCTGAATAAATGTTCTCATTAAACCAAAGCAATCATATGGTTAGTTTCTGAGAAATAGGGAGATGAAGTTTGTTGAATGCAAAAATGGTGAACGTGAACGTTAAAATCGATTTTTGTAGTCTTCTATAAAATCATTTAAATGCGGTATGTACCGAATTTTTATATAATAGTTGGTGCTTTTATTAATAGATACAATCCTCCAATTATTATTTATGACGTGCTGATGATACATTAGTGATTAGTACTTCAGCTGTACGTAACGCCGGAAGAGTCAACCGTGGTTCTAACGTTGGATGAAGTACAAGATATCCACACGTTTTGCTTAATTATTATGCAATAATTAATGGGCATTATGCAGATGTAAATCTGGTGCCCAAACTCTATGCGCATTTGCTTTTATTATTATTATTATTATTAATAATAAATGCGCAAGGCGCGGCGACAGTGCGCTCAGTTTAAAACTGAACGGCACAAAGTACAGCGGTTAGGTTAGAGTTAGCTGCAATTAAAAACATTATGAGCAGTAATACGAAGATGAAGACATACAATTTCCATTCATAATGGGAATACCAATATTTCTTTACAGAAGTTAAAGGTAAATATGTATGTTTTGTTATGTAATACATCTGTTTCCGTTGGTAAAAAAGAGAGCATCGAGAGGCACTGTAAAACTGTACATTCGAATTACGTTCCGCAGCCAGAACAGAAAAACTGAAACAATTAAAAAATCAGTTAATTGGACAACAGACAATATTTTTGAAAACAAGGCTGTAACTGAAGCATCATACCGGGTGTCACAGATAATTACATAAAAGAAGAAACCTCGTGAAGACGGGTAAATGATAAAATAGGCGTTTTTAGAAGCTGCAGATTTATTGTTTGCAACCTTAGGAATAAAGACGAAATAGTTTCTGCTATAAAATCTATGCAATTTTCTGCTAATATAGCGATAAGACGAGTAGAAGTAATGAGCAATGGTATAGTTTTACAGTTAAGAAATGACTTCGATAACTGTGCTTATTTTTCACTACGGCTGGATGAATCCACAGATGTCGTTGACACCTCTCAGATGGTCGTGTTCTTCAGGATGGTTTTTAGTAATTTTACGATTAAAGAAGATCTTTTGAAGTTTATTCTAGTAAAAGGTTGACAACCGATGGCGCTCCAGCTATGGTGAGTCGTGATAAGGGTCTCGTAGGGTTATGTCGTAAAGATAAAAGTTTTCCGTAATTTCCCTGTTACCACTGCATTATCCATCAACAAGCATTATGTGGACATTTTCTAAAACTAAACAGTGTTATGAAATTGATAGTAGAAATTGTGAACAAGATTAGAGCTCAAGAGTTACAAGGAAGATTATTCAAAACCTTGCCTGATGAAATTGACTGTCAAGACACTCTGAAATCCGATGGTTAAGTATAGGACGAGTGCTGAAACGTTTTAATGATATCATATCTGTCATAGTTCAATTTTTCAAACAACGTGATGAACTGATTCCGGAACTGTAAAATTCAATCTGGCTTAGAGATTTTTTTTTCTTGTGGATATTGCAGAAAATTCAAATGAACTTAATTTGCAGCATCAGGGGAGAGACAAAGAACTAGCAGAAAGGAACTTATCAAAAAGCTTGAGTTTTGAGAACAGAACTTAGTCGATGTGTCAGAAAATATATTAGAACCATATGACAGTGAATATCATGATTTGAAGAATAACTTCAAAAATCGTTTCAAGGATTTAAACGAAATGGCTATAGTGGCGCAATTTGTTGTTTCACCCTTCATGGAAATTGATATCCAACAGTTTGCAACTTCTCTTACGCAGAATTTAATTTGCAGCATCAGGGGAGAGACAAAGAACTAGCAGAAAGGAACTTATCAAAAAGCTTGAGTTTTGAGAACAGAACTTAGTCGATGTGTCAGAAAATATATTAGAACCATATGACAGTGAATATCATGATTTGAAGAATAACTTCAAAAATCGTTTCAAGGATTTAAACGAAATGGCTATAGTGGCGCAATTTGTTGTTTCACCCTTCATGGAAATTGATATCCAACAGTTTGCAACTTCTCTTACGCAGAATTTTGGCTAACAGAAATGGAAGTGATTGCGTTTCAAAATGATTTAGCTTTAAAATCATTAGTCTCCAATACAAAATGTATCTGGCCCAAAGATATGTAAATATTCAGTTTTATGTCGTGTTGCCTTGAAACTGAATGCGTTACTTATAGTAGTTCAACATATTTGTGTGAATCTGCGTTTTCAAATATGAAGCTTATTAAAGACAAATACCGTAATCGACTTACATATGAACATTTGGATAATTGTAATAATTGTATTCGAATGGCGGTATCAAATTATACTCCAAATATTAAAAAAATTGTCAATGAACCTGAGTGTCAGGCTTCTCATTGAACACGCATTTTTTATCAGAACATGTTTTTGTTTAAAATAGTGCGTTACTTTTTTTATTTTTAGTTACCTTTATTAAATCGTACGTGACATATCATTGTAGCTGACGAAAAAATTTGTTTATTTTTCAAACACGTACAATTGGTAGGAATTTATGTAGTAATGTAGTATGTATTAGTTACTAGTTTAATTAAGTTTATTAGTATGTATGTAATTTAATTTAAGTTGGCTTACACTGCTTACGACTAGGTAGCTCACTGTTTATCCCAAAATTAGCTCAACGCACTGAAGAGGTGGCGATCTCTGCTCTAAGAACTACAATCGTCACATTCACCATTTTTACAAATCGAGCAAACCGTCTAATTCTCGGAAACATTACCGTAAGAACTTTTGTTCAAAAACGAGAATTATATTGTTACAAAACGTTACCTCTTTCAGGATTGCGAAGCTGTCAGTTGTCTTTCGCGTTTTCTCGAAATATATTCTAAAGTATCACAACACCAAACTTGAAATACAAAGCGTAAACATATATCATACTCCATTCTCAGACAAATCGACGGGGGACCCATTTTCCATAAATTTCGTGCGGGGTGATTTCAACTTTGAAATTTCTATTTCGCGCGGAAATGTTCACTGTCGCGTCCGACCGATGTGGATGAGGCCAGTGCGGAATTTGCGTCCTCAGTGGATTTTGACATACGAGGTGGGTGTATCTACACACACACACAGGCATACACACACGTACACACACACCTATACACGCACACAAACACACACACACACACTGCGTATACTAAAGTTCAATATAACCAAAATATCTAATTTTCAAAATTTCTATTCCACAGTCTAGAGTTCAAACGGCTTGTTGTATTTTGCCATCTGTAATGTTTAGTTAGTGCAGCCGTCTTTTTTATTATTTAAAAATGCACCTGTTATTCTGATTGTTGGCATAGACATAAATACCGATACCGCCAGTGCTAAATTAATAGAACTTGGAGAAACCTCCTCAGACTGACAAGGTTCTGTTGTGGCGACACTTTCTTCCATCTCACAGTCGCCACCTAGCCACAAAAAAGGATCAGGACGATTTAGTATGGCAAGTCAAATGTGCTCATAAGGCACTACCAGAAGGGGTAACATGCTGCAGCAATAAATATCACCTTCACCAAGGAAGAGTAAGTAAAAATACTGTACGAATCTTTGGATATATCTATCAATACATTCCTTCGGTATAAAGGTATATCAGTTTTTCTATTTTTTAATGTAATTCTAAAGTAGTTGGAGATAGTAACTGTGAAGTTCAAATGATGCGTAAAGTTATACCACTGCATGCCACGATGTGGCGGACATAGTCGCGAGAATTTTATACAAATTATGTGCCAGCAATCGGTGTATCGATCAGAGAAAACGTAGGACTAGACACTGAGGCAACACTTCTAGAAATGGGGCACAATTCACAATGGTGATCTGGAACATTGAAAGGGTGAGAAAGATTCAATTTCTACGACATATAAGATATCGATTACAGCAGGCTTTGTAAGTCAAATTCGGGATTAGGTTGTCTCTGAGGGGATTTGAAGGTCACTTCAATATTATATCAAAGACACTCTCAAAGGAAACCGAGCAGTTGAGCCCCGCTACATGTTATTTAAGTCTTTCTGGTTGTTGAATCTGAACCAGAAGTTACTGTGAGGGCATTTGAAGGTCACTTCAGGGTCATTTAAAATACAAATTTAAAATCAGTCAGGTAGAAAAAGACATTTAAAGGTCATTTTTAGGCAACTTTTAGGGCAAATTTTGAAAAAAATGAGCATCTGACATAATATAGCAGCTTATATGCTTATATTCTTGACACTTTGAAAAGTAGACAAGAATTCACTATAGACTTTATCTAGCGGTACTTCAAGTTCCACAAAGTCATAATTGTGCAAAGGGCGAAACCTTATTAAAACTGTACTTGAATAACGCTTACATAAAAGCGAAACTGAAAATAGTAGTCAATTCAACCTACGGTGTACATGACAGTTCGTATCCTCTTTATTATGATCTATACATATGTCCAAATTTTTTCAACACACAATACCGAACCTTCCGGATTTGCCATAGAAGAGGAGTTTCGATTAATACACCACAAGCTTTAAGTGTGACAATCCGCCATGGCAAAGTTAGAGAAAGCAAAACTCTACAAGTATTGCTTTTATTTTTTGAATGACCATGTATATCAGATTTGCTCACATACTTTTGTAATTTCTAGTACCGGCAATCAACTCTATCCAAATATCTGTCAGCTGTACAGGAGGTGTGGCATGCTATTTCTATCAGTCACCATCGCTCCTTCTATTTTCGGGTTGTTTTCCTAGCGAGACTATTTAAGGTTTCATTATAGCCCGTCCTCGTAGAGGAGAGTGATTTACTTTACGTTGTGTTTTGTTATGGTCGATCAGGCATGTAAAGCCGTTGAAGCTAATGATTAAAATGTAAAAGACATTTTTACGAGACCGGTCATAAAGTAAACTAAAAATTAAAAAAAAAAAATTTCCGATCAGAAATATTTGAACGATAAAAGCTCCTTCAACACAAGCTTTCATATAAAAGTGTGTCACACCCTTTTCCATCCTACTGTCGAAACGTAATACGTTTTTTATTTTTCACTTTTAGTACTTAGTATTTATGATGTCAACTAGCTCAGTAATTTCTGTATAACCTTCATATGTTCCCTGATCAACCCCATTGATTTCATACCCATAATATGGAGGTGTCTATTGAAACTAAAAATCGCCATTCTGCGATGATCGCCATATTGGATTTAGAATGACATCGCGTTGCTTGTTATGTTTCCCTCATAAAGCTCTTTGAAACCTATATCATAGGGGTGAGTATGATAATTATAAGCGCCATTTCAGGGTGGTTATTGCGCCATATTGGATTTAGAATGACGTCACTATGCTTATTGTGCTTCTTCCATCTAGACGTTTCATTTGATACCCATATCAAAGGGTGACTGTAAAAAATGTGAATCATCATGTTGCTCATGTTGATACTCATATCATAGGTGTTACTGTGGTGATGAATCGCCGTTTGCTAGCATCTGCCATATTGGATTTAAAATAGAGGAAGTTAATTTATGCTATATTGCAAACCAAACACGTTTACAAAATTTCATTTCAATTGGTTAAGGCTAATGGATTCAAAATTCAGTTCCAAGATTACATACGTACTAACATACTTACAAACAGGACAAGTTAAATGCTTGTAAGAAAGCTGAACTAGAAGTCATGAAGGACGAGTTTCGATTGAGAAGTGAGCTACTCAGTCCTTTAACTCATCTGAGTATGTTTATTTGTATTATGGAAACGTATCACGGTGCAGTCGAAATATCAATAGCGAATCACTGTAATCCAGCGTCAAGTAAAGCTACTTAGCCTGTACACCCTTAGGGCTACTAGAAGTGAATAGAATGATGAGAATAGTTTCAGTTCAGAACATTCAATAAATTAGGAATATAAATGGTTAAAACATTTTATAATTATGTTATAATTTTGCGAATAAAATGTTATTACAATATGTCACCAAGTACCTACTGTCCACGCATCTGTGGTTAGTGATCTGACTGACTCATTTCTGCCTACATTGAGAAAAGATGGACACTAAAACAGTCTTTCTGGAAAATTTTCATTGATAAAAGTATAGTTCTTGTATACATATATCCTTTTCCCTACTTTCAGAATTTAAAACAGGGGATTGCTTCTACTGAATGGTGATATATTACAATGTGTTTCTGGACCATCAGACAAATATTGGTGAAACTTGATCCCACAAGTTCACAATCAATGAAAATAAAAAATATCGACTTTTGCTATGGTTAAAAAGTTTGGAAGCTTTTTTATATCTTAGATCACACACACACAAATCACAATTATAATATAAATAATTCAGCAAAATGCAATTTGTTGTTTTAAACTCCAAATATTATCCAAATATACTTTTAAATCCAAATAAAATAATTCATTAAATATAGGCGGATACCTTTACTTCCACTAATTAAACAAATCAAATAAATATAATTAAAATGTTTAACTTGGAGTTGGTGAACTCATTTTAATAGTTCATTGATTCTAAATAAACAATGTAAGGAAACGACCTAATATAATTTAACGATTGTGCTTTGATTCAATCAAACTAGATTCATAGATTCATAGAGCTGATTAACCGCGCTCCGGCACTGCTATTAAAAGCCTAAAGAAACATTTTTAATCCGATTTTTGAACTGCTTAGGATTGGCAGCTATGGGAAAAGCTTCCTCAGGCATATTGCTATACAATTTCGTCTCCCTGGGGTCTACGGGGCGGTCATACCAGCCAGTTTTGGATGTACGAAGTTCGCTGATAAGAAACAGAAACCTGGCGGGTCCATTTGCGTCGCGTCGCGTGGGTGGGAAAGGGTCCCGGGACTGTCCGTTAGGGAACTGCCGTGGATCAGTTGGACATCTTTTCTCTAAACAGCTTCGAGTATGTAGTTGGGGCAGTAGCACCCCAAACATGTGAGCTAGTATGTACTAGAGTATGGACCGCATGGACGCTAGGGCGCTTCTTCTTACTCAAAGTGCAGTACTGTGTTTTGGTAGAACTAACTGTACCAGATCATTGCAACCTCAAGCAATGATAACTTCCGAATCTTCCGTCAGAGTTTTCTCTCCAGCATATCGGCAGAGGTCGGCTTATTGTGTCCCAATAATTCGCTTTGATAACCACACCGACGGTTAATTTCTGTCTAACGCATGCCAGAAGAAAGTTTCTCCAGTTCTACTTATTTACGGCGGAGGTTCAACAGATGTTTTTATTTTCATTACAATAGTCGCGGCTACCTAGGTATTTTAGCTCTACCTTCGAGACTTGACAAAACAATCGACAGTTTATCTGGATGAGCCTTTTAT